AGCTGATATTCAAGAAGGTACAGATGACCGGCCGATACTCCCGATGGGATCGGAAGACCGTGGAGCGAGGCGGTCCGATCAGTGCGTCGTATTCAGACTCGAATTCGGGAACACTCCCGAGGAAGTTCCGACGAGGTCCGCTCACCGAGCCAAGGTCGAACCGGGCTGCGCCCGCGGTCACGATCGGGAATGACGGACGACGATCGACAATAATCCAAGATCGGAGAAGTCACCATTGACATATCGCGCGATAATGATTGAAATTTCGAGGATCTTCAGGACATCGAGTCACTCGAAATTCAAACCTGTCGGAGATCTCGCCTTCCGGGAGAACTCGAATTTTATTCGTCACTGGAATGTTATCCTCGACTGGGCGTTATTTTCAGTGCTTTTGAGCTCTCGCTGCTATAAGATAGCTCGGACAGTCGGAAACGACGTGCGGATGCGAGTCTCATCGGCCTGGAACGGTGAATGGGATATGATTCGTCCTTATTAGCCAAAAACTACTCGCGTCCCTCGCAACTGTTTGGGTGAAATGTTTTAGAGCGTGCCGTTGAGATCCCGGAGTGGATCCGCCCCGGTAGGCCCAGATGTTTCGGGCGTCGTCGCTCCGTGTGAGACCATGTGTTGCCGTTATCGATGTTGGTGGAGTATGCGCGGGCGACCGATGTTTGGGTGAGAGATGCTGTCCTCTTGTTTTTAACTGTTTCTAGTACATGTAGGTCTCTACGCTTGTGCCTGCGTAGAATTATTTTCTGCGACGGAAACTGAACGGAAAGTCAGTTAGGCGGGTGGCGGTGGTGGCAGAGTAGACGCTGCTGGTGATGGTGGCGGTTGTCGGGCGGGCGGCGGGCAGCAGAGCAGCGGCACTGGAGGCAGAAGGCAAATGGCGATGCACAGAGTTATTCTTTGATTCAGTGTAGCATCTGGACAAGCATCTGCCTCGTTGGGAAGTGAAACGAGCTGAGCTCACGTCCTTCGAACGCAAAAACTTTTAGTTTCGTGTAGAACACATTTTCTCGAGAGCCAACCGTCGGCGTCGCCCGCCCTGAGAACAGGCGGTGAGCGAAATTAGAAATGGACGAAAAGATTTCGGGAATTTCGCCTCGCATCGGATTCATCATCGTGCCGATGGGAGCTCGGTAGCAGTGCCTCTGTTTAAAAAATTCCTGAGCATCGCCCGAGGGATGAATATGAGATACATTCTATATGATAATGATTCATCAAGTGTTCTCTTTAGGGTTCGAGCTCGATGTCGGCTCTGAAGGGCTCCAACGGTGTCTTCGAAAGTCCAACGGTTCTGTTTGTTCCAGTCTTTGTGATCGAGGGAGCATCATCTCTGGTCACGTCGCGTCGTCGGCCCTGTATCGAATGAAACTCGAATAGTCTGTCATTTGTCCTTGCGAACGAAAGATCGTCTTGTCCAGCTCTGGCGGCGAAGAGTTACGGCCTAACACTGCGAGAATCTAAGCGAGAAAACGAGCAGGCGCCAGCATCGCGCGGTCAGCGATCCACCGTGTCAAAGAATGGAATATCAAGACGCCAATGAAGATATTGTGAAAAACCCAAAACAGCTCCTAACGACGGCGCTATCTGTCTGCGGTGTAACATGCGCCCTGCGCTGCGCGGTACTCAGCCTATTCAGCTGACCTCAACTTTGAGTTATCGGCGGACCGACCGGCTACATAAGCTGATTCAGGAAACAAGTTGTGTGAGGTCAGTTTTTTCGGTGTGAGAAAAATTCGGCATCATACCGACTCCGCCTTCTTCGCTGCTGCAGTGTTCATTCTCTTTCCGGGGATTCGAGATCCGAATCGTCCAGCTGAGTTTCCCCTTCTCCGGCGAACCCACCTCGAGGCTGCAGTGACGCCGAGGTCGGGGTAAGGAATTGAGAGTAGGTGTCTTCAACGCTCGCATGCGAGTCTGCTCCGACAGTATGCTGTAGCCTGAGCTCCGAATGGTGGAGCGCGTCGATCTACGAGACGCTAGCGTGCCTGGTGGAGACAGACCGAGTTCTCGTGCGCTCACGTTCCTGCTGGGTCGATGTCCAAACGGAGCAACCCCACCCAAGCCGAGACACCACTCCAACGATGACGTGTTCACCGATGAATGAATGCATGCATGCATGAGAATTCGGCTGACCACGGATCTCCGAATGGACTCCGTCCCGGGAGGAGCGAACACGGATTATTATAAGAGAAGGTCCACTATGTAAGTGCGATCCGAGAGAATCCGCGTCGATGTCGACGCGGAGTCAACGCCGCCCGTCAGCTGCTTTCAAAAGCGCCGAGCATCCGAAGTCCGACCGTGAACTTCTCCGACCGCCGCTGTGTCTACTCTGTGATTCGCGTGTTCCGTGAGCTTCGCTTCAGTGCGTTTGATTGTGAGTGAGCGAAATAGAGGGTTCGACTGAAATTTCAGTTAACTTGAGCATCCAGACCGAAAGCAAAAACTCGTTCGAATTGAGCCGTTCCGTATTTTCTCATCGGACAATACAAGAGCAAAGAAGCTCAAATCCGGTCGTCGATCCAGAGTCACTCCCTTCCGCTTGTCGGACTGTTTAGGGAAACAGCGCTTGGATTTCTCTGCTCCTGAATCTTGAGTGAGCGGAAGCTCGAACGAGTCGCTCGAGAGCGAAAGCCGGACGAGGTTCTCATCGATTGCGAAGTATCTCATTCGATAGCTCTTCGTCTAGCGCACTCCTGCAGAATATCTGTGGCGACCCGAGGCATGGGCGTATGGCGGCGCACTGACAGAACATTCGTTCTGAGATCCCCAGCGGAAATGCCGACGTCGATCGCAGGTTCCTGTGGGAGTTCGATGCGTGAAAGAATTGAAAGGCTGCTCCTCCCACGGTAAGAGGTCCATTCTAATCATCTATCCGGCATTACCATACTGGCTCAGAATACTCCATCGAATCGGTGGATTCGGCGACGAAAGAGTGAGGCGTCAGACGGAAGTTCCTTGGCAAGTTCTTCGAATTCGGAATCAGTCTGCATAGGGATATCGGGGCCAGTGCTTGATACCGAAAATTGCGTCTTCGAGGGCCATGGCTCTGTCGGCCCTCGCGACCTCTTCACGGGGGTCGGGGTATCATGGATGATTCAAATTTGCAATCCGAGCGAGAATTTTCGGGGAATTGAACTGGTCATTCGGGCTCAACGCCGAGGGAGGTGGTAGGGTGCCAAGTTCGGTTTCGAGTAGAGGAGTAGTAGAAGTCTGTCTCTCGCTCTTTCTCACGGTGCTCGTGGTCCGAATCGACCCTAGATAGCTGAGCATCCACGCAAAGAATGTAAGAATGTGTGCCTTAGTCTGTCTGACACTCGGCGTGTCTGCCTTCCCTGGCGCCCTGTCGGGTTACAGTTGGATGTGCGTGGACAACGTCTGTCAGCAATTGGATCGGTGGCCAAGTGAACAGTGCTCAAGCGGTCAGCCGGAGGCTAGCAGCAAGCTCCCAGCGCGCGAACGCGCCATTGGGAATAGCAAGCTCGATCCGCTGCAGACTGAAAAGAGTTTGGCTCACACTCTCGCACAAGAAGCTCATCGTCAACATCGCCGCCGCTATCAGCGTCCGACAGCACGATACAAAACGGAAGAAAATCATTTTGACGTAGCAGAGAGCGATTCGACGTCGTGCAGCTAGCGAACGAAAGCTCTGTCGGCCTCTCCGATGCTTCGGACGTGTTCTCTTCCTGCGGGTCCAATCGCTCGTTCGCTTGAGAAATTCGTCATCGAGGAAGACACGATGACATTGTTGACAATTTCCTTCTCCCTCTGCGAAAGACCACCACCGAGTGTCGCCATCGCCACTCGCGTTGCTGGTTTTACGACATTTACAATTGACGACGATCTTTTACGTTAAGCAGTCAGTCTGTCTGTATATCCCGTCTATCCGTCCGTCTGTCTGTCTCTGGCTTCCTCGTGTGGGTCTAAGAGCGTGTTTCTGTTTGTGTATTTTGGCGTCCTCCTTCTTTTACGTAAGCGGCTGGGCGAGAGTACCGTTTGTGCCGTTACCCGGCCTTCAACACTGCGCAGCCTTTGCATCCACGCTAATCATGTGCATTACCATCGATCGGAAGCAGCCGATTACAATCGTTCCGTCGGTCTGTGTTATGCAGGCGTTGATGTAACTTCAAAATTTAGTGAAATCTGTGTTTTCGTTTATTCGATTCACCAGTCGGAGTTCGATTTTATTAAGCAACACTGGCATTCGTCCTCGTATTCCCAGAACTCCGAAGGCCGAGAACTCCGAAAAACGCTTAGGAGTTGAATCTTCCGTGCGAAGGTCAGCCACGGTACTCCGGCTTCCAATTAATTAAAAATAATCGGGATGCGGCGATTAGTCGATAAAACACGCGCTCTGGCCGACATTGGGTCGTCAATGAGCCGACTGCGAGTTTCAGTTGACTAGGCGTCGGACTTTATGTCGAAAGTCGGTCCGCCGGCACGACGGAGCCCTCATGTGGAGTCGTGACCTCAGTCTGCCTTTCCGCCTTCGTCGGACGTCGTTGTCTCGTGCAATCTTCACGTGGTGATACTCATGAACCGCTTAGATCCGCGAAGAAAAGGACTGGGATTTTCTATCACGATAGCTGATAATATTCTCGAAGCGCTCTTGTCGTAGCTTCTAAGACAGAAATTGAAGAAAAAACGCTTTTCGTTTCAGGTGACAGCGAACCCTGAGCCGATGCTCGCGCATTCCCCAGCCACACTCGGACGGCTGAAACGAGACGCTTAGCGGAAACTCGCTCAAGAGACGTGTCGGTGAAACGTATCGCACAAAAGTGTCATCATTTGACCGCAAGTTGAGGCGGCCGCTGAATGCCTCCTGAAAACGAAGTCAGCCGATAGATGGTAGTGTTTCTTTCACGGCATCAATTCTGGACAAAGGCTCTCGAAAACAATGGTCATGATGAGCAGCAGGATTCGATGGGTCTCGCCAGCTGCTGCAAGGAGGATGCAATGAGTACGCCTGCAGGAAGCCTCGGGCTGGGGGGCGCATGAATCATCCTGCTTCCCCCCCTCCCGCCAATGAAGATGCCACCCGCTGTCAGCCAGCTACCCAGCAGCAGCCGCCGCAACTACAAACGCCGCCGCCCCCGCAGCAACAGTCGCAACAACAACAGCAACAGCAGCACTCTCAACAGACGGCCACAAAAATCAGACTCAGCGGTGAGTTTCCTCCGAGAACTCCAAAAGACTGGAAGGAGATCAGAAGAGTTCTCGTAGGCATCGGAAGTCAATAGACGGAGCTCGGCTCACGAAGCGGTATTGTTCCAATGTTTATGTTCTGAGACTCAAAGTCAGCTGGCAGTCGATCGAGCAGAGAAATGCAGTACATACATACCTATGTAGTTTCCGAGAGTTTCGCGGCCTCGACCTCACTTTAAGTGTTCCTCGATATCCGAGTCGATGGCGTTAGTGACCGGCCGGCCGACCGACCGAGAGACTCTCTGTCGGTGAGAACGTGAGTGTTATGAAAAGTCAAACAAGACCAGGCAGATGAATATTTATGTCTGACTCGGTCAGGCTATCACATAAACAACATTGACCTCCTCCATTCCAATTCGAAATCAGTCAACTGGCATCGGAGAGATCTTTCATCATAGATCAGTAACGGCGAATTCCAATGCAGCACCGAGTGCTTTGAATCACGTGTGTATGCTCTGTGTGGAATACCCTTGAATGATAATAATTGCATCTATCAGGAGAGCCTGGAATCTGTGGTAGTCGAAGGTGTGCGGAGACCGGCTTCTCGTATTTGAAAACAAGCTCACTTCGTTTCGTCAGCAGGAGAGTCACTCATAAGAGCGACCAATCCTGAATCAATCTCTGTGGCTGCCTGCGGGCAGCGCCAGAATGTCGGATGACACGTTACGCTCCAGAGAGCCAGCTGAAGGCTCATCGGATTGGAGGGATTCCCAGACTCAACCCGAGACGCATTCGAACTGCAATAATTATTATGAGAGACGGACCCGATCTTCGGTGATTGGGTTTTGAGATATGTTGGGCTCATCTTTTATGTCCGCTCCCGATCAGGCGTCTATCGGATATTAGATCCACCGATCGATGGGTGGTATGTCTAATCTCTGAGCCAGCAGCGATCGTCGTCAAGTCGGCGATGTGTTTCCCACATTTGAGCACAGCGGCCCCGGTCATAATTAACTACAGTTACGCAAATAAAGTCCGAAATTCTGGTTTTCGGCAATCAGCATCGATCGTCTGCTCCTCGCACCCTTCGGTCCGTCGGTTCGGGAGATCTCTCCTTATGTGTCCGCGTGGCCTTGGGAGCCCATCATGTCTGAGAACGGTCCATGCGACAGACCTTTCGTATACGAAAATACTTTCTGAACGAAATCTGGTATCAGTTCTTTTTTTCTCTGCTTCACACCTCTAGTAGGGTTTTCCATTCTGCTCGGAACCTCTCCTCCGCATGCAATATGCTCTTTTTGCTTTCTCTCGTTGGAGCGATGAACCATTTTCTTCACATCAGTGATTGACCGATGGGTCATGGCGGAAATCTGTGATAGCTCTGGCAGGGGAAATATCGTAGATTGAACCGATCGCTCGTGTTCGTGGATACTTGCTCCCCTCGGATGCATCACGAGCGGGAACCCTGCTGAAATACTGCTCCTCCGTTCTATTCATTCCAAGATCGCAGCTGTCATCAACGATGCCAGAACAAGGAGCTTTCAGCGAAAGACAGAAACTCATGTCAGGCGAACGGGCAGCGGCCGCCTGGCGACCACACCGTGTTGATCTATTCATCCATGGATCTTTGTCCGGATCCATCGTCCCCTACGCTAGGTGCAATGCTGCTGTCGTGGAGACTGCTGAGTCAGACGTCGCTGCTCGCAGCGTAACTGGTTTGTGTTGTTGGGCGACCGAGCCATGTGTTCCGTCTGTCGTCCCCATGCTCGTCCCGCCGGCGCGGCGTCCGTCATTCGTTGGCTGACTGTTCACAGGATTCGCTCTGGCCGTTGCCCTGGGGCTCCCTCTTTCAAGAGCACAGCTGACAAACTAAAAAAGAAAGACAGACAAATCACCGACGCAAGTGGTGGCGTATCCATGGCAGAAAATGGCTTACTGTGGAGCGCCCTGAAGCTTGAAAATTTCATTCGAACCACGAAGATCTTTTGAATTCCGGAGCTCGGTCGACGCTCGAAGTTGAGGACCCCGATTGATTCACATCGATGCGTCGAGCCGGGATGAATCTCGATCTCATTATCGCAGGCGAGTTTCTGATCTGTGTTTTTTTTCTTTGCAGTGTTGTGTGCCAAGGGTCTTCTGAAAAAGGATTTCTTTCGGCTCCCAGACCCCTTCTGTAAGGTGTCCGTGGAAACCTGCGGAGAAGCGGTCCAGGACTACTCAACCGAACCGCGCCGGGCGACGCTGGACCCCAAATGGCAACAGAATTTCGATTTGTATCTGAAGAAGAACGATTCTGTGAGTACCGATCAGCGGATGGAAGTTCCCTGGAGAGAGATTCTACTGGGATCCCGGGTGATCAACAGAGAGACAGAGTTTTGAACCTCATCGGGACATTAGGAACTCCGCTGCGATGACACATGATGTCGAACTTAGTGAGCAAAGTCGTTCTCGAGTCTGATTCCCGGCCAAGTGCGGAACCAGTACGGAAGCGAATCCAAGTTGACTCATGTAGTCAGACGTTTGACCGAGTCTTTCACGTTAGGAGGGGAGGAGTTAGTGCGCAAGTTTGAAGGTCGAGAGATCTTTTGGACCTGACACAACATCACTATGACATCTTCTGGACGCTTTTGGATGGGGCAACCGTTCGCTGCGAAAGGCTTCGAGCCGCCGAGTGGCTCCCGTGAAACAAGTGGTGGCCGTCGTGAACTGTCTATTGAATTTAAATTTCGCTTTTGATAACTAGAAGTCATCTTAGTGAAAGCTCGGCGTGACGCACACACATTTGGAGATGGAACTGACTGGTCTCACTGGCCTGTGAGACTTGCATTTTTGTCGCGCCGCGACCATCGGATCGGCCGGAACGCATCATGGTCTAACATTTCGTCAAAAGAGAACAACACGGAAAACCGGCGGATTTGACTCGGGAACATGGAGGAAGCGGAACAACTCGTTTAGCGGAAACACTTTCCTAACGTTCGACATCATCTTTTCCCTTCAACAGATCACTATTTCGATCTGGAACCACAGAAAAATCGGCTTCAAGAAAGAATCTGCGGCGTTCCTCGGCTGCATCCGACTCAAGCCGAACATGATCCAACAGCTGCGTGACGCTGGATGTAAGGGTTTTCGAATATCTGGGAAATCATTCGTATTGGAATAAATCTTGCATTTTTTCGAACTCTAGAATAATGACCGCGACTTTCAGATCAACGATTAGACCTATCCCGGAGCTATCCATCGGAAGAATCACCCTCTGTGGATGCAGTCAAAGGTCAGCTCGTGATTTCGTTGGCGTCCCGTGGAGCTCACACTCTGGCAACGCCTCACAGTCAGCTACATCGAGACGTGCTCAGCCTACCAGCGCCGAATCAACAGCTGTGTTCCAACAGCTGTAATCAAACTCAGCTGATGAACAGCCCACTCAGCAGCAATCAACACATCAACAACAACAACATCGTCCACAGTAGTCCGAACAACCTTAACAGTAATAATAACAACAACAACAATAGCAACATCAACAACAACTCAGTACCCCCGCCGGGTAGCGGGGATAACCAGGAAAACACTCAGCCGAACGCTGTAAGGACAATATCGATCATAAAAATGCTTCAGGGGGGAACTGAAGAGAAAATCTGATAACTCTAGATCAGCTATCACACTTTGGAATCTCTCCAAGAAAGCCCCTAACGGAGATGTTTCTGTTTCAAACCACAGGTCGCCTCTCCGGGAGACAGCGGAGACCTACCCGAAGGTTGGGAGCGACGGCTTACCTTGACAGGGCGAGAATACTTTGTGAATCACGCCACCAGATCGACGCAATGGGCACGACCCGTTAATCCCGCCTACGAACAGACTCCTCCGCGGAGAGAACGTGAGAGTCGGAGGAGGTCTACCCGTCACCGTAATTATTTGAGCAGGAATCAACTGCATCGGAATATTCCCGCGACAACTGAGCTGCCTGAAGGCTATGGTGGGTGCCGAAGCGCTTTCAAAACGGCTTAAGACTCCGACGATTCCGGAAGTGACCTCTAATCAGACTTCTCGTATCGTTACAGAGCTTCGTACCACAGAGCACGGTCAAGTGTACTTTTACAACACTCAAAACGGCCAAGTGTCTTGGCATGATCCTCGAGTTCCTCGCGAGGTTCCCCGCAACGTCGATTTGGGACCTTTGCCAAGTGGATGGGAAGTGCGTCTTACAGCTTCCGGGAAACAGTACTTCGTAGATCATAACAACAGAACAACTCAATTCACCGATCCCCGTCTCATGGTTGGAAACAATCGACTGGCGGCTCCCACCCCACGAAGGTCAGTGGATATTCAAAGAATTCGCCAAAAATCCTTCGATGTTCAATCAGGGGTTTGGGAGCTGATCTTCCCCAATTCGAACGATCGATTTCGGCAATGCATTCCTGGAATTCGTGATCGGTGCTGATGGTCGTCGATTCTATTTTCCAGCAGCAGAGGGGAGCGAAACTCAGATTCCATCATCAGAAGTCCCGAGAATCTCCCGACTTCTATGAATATTTCCGGGCTACCTCAATCCAACATGAACTCCCATCCCTCCCCTCAACCTTTGATTAGGTTGGTGGCCTTATCGTCGAGCTCATCAAAGGAATTATTGAGATCCAATGCGTCATAGGACGAGTCGCTAGGAATGAAGCTCGAATTCCCTCGATAGTAACGCGATTCCTCTTTTCAGTCAAAATCAAATCAATGGGAACAATCGTAGTAGCAGCTCTTTATCTCCTGTCGGAGTTTCACCGCGAAACAAGAAAGATGAGACGAAAGAAGTGGGTCTGTCTCGGAACTTCGGGAGGCACAATAGAGACCTTGTCACAAAACTCACCATGCTACGAAGAGATTTGCAGGCTTTTCAACCGCCAACTGGTGAGTTTCAGGAAATTCTCGTGCTAGGCTAATTCTAGGCTAATCGTCGGAGTACCGTCTGATAAATTCGGAGGTTTTCCCTTGTGTTGGAAGGTCACTCACCGTCTATTGGTTGGATTGTAGGTCACTGCCGCCTGGAGGTGTCTCGAGAGGACATCTTCGAGGAGTCTTACCGCCAGATTATGAAAATGCGAGCCAAAGATCTCCGTAAACGACTTCAAGTGAAGTTTCGCGGAGAAGAGGGGCTCGACTACGGAGGCCTAGCCCGAGAATGGCTTTACCTGCTCTCGCATGAGATGCTTAACCCCTATTATGGTCTTTTCCAATACACCCGAGAAGATATATTCACGCTACAAATCAACCCCGACTCTGCGGTCAACCCGGTGAGCATTCCTCATTGTCTAACCGTCATCCTCAGACCGGAGGTGCTATTCGTAGGTTTTTGTTCCCTCCCACCAAGCTCTGTTCAGAACTCTCTAATTTGGTGATCCCCGATTCTGCAGGAACACCTCTCGTACTTCCAATTCATCGGTCGGATCATCGGGTTAGCCGTGTTCCACGGATACTACATAGATGGAGGTTTCACACTGCCCTTCTACAAGCAGTTGCTGAACCAACCGATAACACTAGCCGATATTGAGGCTGTTGACATGCAACTCTACAACAGTCTCAAGTGGATTCTTGAGAATGATCTGAGCGACGGAGCATTCGATGAAACGTTTGCCGTCGAACACAATCAATACGGTCGAGTTGTTTTACACGAGTTAAAGCCTGGCGGAGCTCAAATCATGGTGACGGACGACAACAAGAAAGAGTGAGTTTATTCCCCCCGAGAACAGTAAACATATATTGCGGGGAGGAATGCGTGGTGATTCCTCCGTCTCCAGAAAGAAGAAATTAGTTTCGGAATGTTTCGAATCGGAGCTCACGCCCCAGGTCCGCTGCTGATCTAACCCGGGAATTTTGGTCGCAGGTACGTCCGTCTGTACGTCAACTGGCGCTTCATGCTCGGGATCGAACAGCAGTTTCTGGCTCTCCAAAAAGGTTTTAACGAATTGATACCGCAGGCTTTAGTGAAGGAGTTCGACGAGAGAGAACTCGAATTAGTCATTGGGGGTCTGGGGCATATCGACGTAGATGACTGGAAGAATAATACGCGCTTGAAGCACTGCGTTAGTAAAACTCCTCAAGTCGTTTGGTTCTGGGGCATTGTCGGAGGATACGACGAGGAGCAGCGCGCTCGACTGCTTCAGTTCGTGACAGGGTCGTCTCGTCTCCCTCTGCAAGGATTTTCGGCTTTACAAGGTTCGACTGGTGCGGTCGGACCAAGGCCGTTCACCCTTCATCTGGTGGCCGACGCCTGCACGGACAACCTTCCTAAGGCGCACACATGCTTCAATCGCATCGACATACCGCCTTACGAAAGCAAAGAAAAAATGAAAGACAAGATAACTCAAGCTATCGAGGAAACCTGTGGTTTCGCCATCGAATAATTCTAGAGTCCTTTTTCGCTTCTTACCTGTTGCTGCGACCTCAGTTCTCAATCACGTCATGCAAAGAGCACCTCAAAGGCTCGGTTTTCCGTCAGCGCAAGACCGTTCTTAATTTGCCTAGTCTGTACATACAACGAAAAAGACCAAGACCTTATAGGACACCAGCCGGATGGATATGATACGTTCGTGAACCTTAGGGTAGATGCTATGAACGAATATTTCGCGGAGAGAGAATGGATTGGGTCGCCGTAACGAAAGCAGAACATATCAAGTGCCTGCCGGCGAAAATTCGCGGAAGTCGCGGGGTATTCTCAAATCCCGAGCCCACGAATCCTAGATTCGAATCACATCACTAGACCGGGGAAGAAGCTCCTGCAGGAAACATATCTTCGCGAAGGTCTTGATTGTGGATCTTGATATCTGAGCGAGGATTCCCCATAGACGCTCTTCATCAAGTTATAGATTGGATGACTCAACCCGGAAGGGGAAGTCGGCGAAGAATGCGACGCCGGACGAAGAAGTAATGAGAACAATAAAAAAATAGCGCACTCGATAGTTAACATGGCTTCACACACGTGGCTCGGAGGCGCTGCATGCCTGCGAACCGCTTTCTCTCGAGACTGATAAATCAAACTCCAACCAATCAAAAGCATTTCCGTATGATTTCGACCGTGACATCGGATCGTTTATAGGTTTGTAATAAATGAAGACTGCGGTGATTGACATCATGACGAGTGAAAGGACGAAATTGTGTCTAGAAATGGTGTGTATATAGTACATTGCAAGCAAAGTGAGCAACTTTTTTTTCAATAAAGAAGATCTTGTTCATATCTCCGGCTCCTCTTTGCATCGCGTACGGCGTAGAACATCCGGGGTGAAATTATCATGAAGGCAGTGAAGGCAGATCCGGAGCGCCGAGGGCGGGCGTGAATATTCCGGGGATCACGCGGGCCGTCTCTCGCTCCTCGATGCTCACTCCATGCATTTCCCATGCACGAAGAAGTATTCGATACCCTTCCCCTTCATTTCCATCCAGTTCACCCCAGCCCTGCTGTCTCTATATGAGCCATATGTTGAATGAGTGAGAGAGATTGATTCCGGCTACGGTCAGAGAGCTACCCCGGGTACACAGCTCCGACAGTCTCGAGAGCCATTATCTCGATTCATCACAACTGGCGCGCGGAATCGGAACACTTTTCGGCCCATCTCGCGATGTTTCTTCGATCACTCTGGACTTCTCCATCATAACTCGTCTCCACGATCTGCGGAGCTCCGCGGAATGCTGAAGGCTCCCAGACTCGGTCTCAACGCCAGCCTTACATCAAAAAACAGACTCTGAATCAATGTCGAAGTTTGGGCTCCCACGCTCGGTTGGCTGGACTTGGGAGTACTTCGTGGCTTACCTTCATGAGTAGTTCGTCCGACAGTCAGCATTTTCATGGGATTCCGAGCATTTCCGGGGGCGCTATATATATATTCCCCGCAGGTATTTTCCCCAATAACACCTCTGCCTCTTAGGCAGCAGAATACATGAGGGTCTCCATTTGAATTCGAGTGCTAGTCAAGGTCATGGGATGTTCAGTCATCATTCATGAATTGGGGTAGATAGCCGATCGAGGAAAGAGGTGCACCCGGCGGATTGGATGGCTCTTGATGGTTGGCTGCCTGACATTTTCCTATTGGAGTCTCCCGCCAAGAACATACATTCCGGAATCGGCTGTCGACTCCCGGAAGGGAATGCTCATATCACATTGAATATCGGGGCCGGGCGCCACATCTCAGGTGCTCACAGTGCAGATCTTTCCCCCCGGTATACCTGCAAGTTCTACGTAGGAAGCCGAATCAAATTTTCCCGAGCTCGATTTCAATGCCCCGCAGTCCTCCCACCGAATCCTGGAGAGAGACTCTTCCAAGGCCGTCATCGTCGACCGATAGACGGCACAAGGAGCACCGGAGCAATAATACGCCTGAGAACATACAACGGTCATTGAAAAGTCACAGTCGACTCTTCCTTCGAATTTATCCAATCTCGAATTCAAGAGGAACTCCCAAGTTCTTCGCGGTGCCCCACCGGAGGGAGCCACGCGAGATCACGATTCGGAACTATTCAATCAGGGTTCCGTCAAGAATCCTCCCGTATAGAGACGTAAGAAACCCCTTCGTAGAAGACGACGATGACGACGATAAGTCCCTGTGAAAGAACGGCCGGTCGATGGCTGACCGAATCTGCTTCTTTCTTTCTTCGTTCCGTTTCTGAGATCCTGTGTTCACGCTTTCCTGCATCCGCTTCGGCTGCCGTTCGGCTAAGGATTTCTCGCTTCTTCCTTGCCTTCCAAATCCTTTAATAATATTGGCCTCATTTCCGCTCCTCTTGGACAAACGCGCTGCCGAGGAGCAAGGCGCAGCCGACGAGGAAGCCAACGGTCGCCTCACCAATTCAAGACGGCCTCGGCAAACGCTGTCTCCCGGCCTGCCTGCCAGGATGCTTCCGTGCCTGCCTCCATGCCTGCCCAGAAAACTCTACCGAGCGGAAAATATATCCTTTCGATGTTGCCTTCCATGATCGCCGCTCCGGGCTCGTTCGCTCGGGCCTTTCAAGAGAGCTACTCTATGGATATATCTTCTATGTAGGAAACAGCTTTCCCCGGGCTCTCGAATTGGCAAAGTACGGTCCTTCGCTGGTTCAGCGGCGAGGCTCGAAGCTGCTGCTGTCAGATTATCCCGACCGGCTGAGAAAATTCCCGTCGCAGTCGAGATGGAGCTCAATCGAATGCGAAATGAAGTTCCGAGTTCTTCCTACGGCGAGCGATGTCAAGATGTCCGCGCTTTAGAATTGTTCCCCTCCGGAGTTCATATGGATGGCTCCTTGAGATGGCTCCGCTCTCCGCAGGGATTTTTTTTCTCGTGGAATGAGATCAGGTGTTAGGAATCATCTTGGATTATGATGACTCCAATTATATTATTGATCCGGTCGACCAACTGAACATTCCCAAGGATTTAATCCGGCCCGGTCCCCCAGACACGCCCGAACGTGCATCCCCGGAGCTTCTTCGATTTACACGGCGACCGATGTCTTCTGGCTTACTTTTCCATCTTGGATAGGGAGGCGAAAGCGCTGCTGACCGCTCGTCTGTGTTCGTCTAAGCTGGGTCATTCATCCCTGTGGACACTGACGTAGCGAGTGCTTCGTATAATATTAGAATTCATGGCTGCGCGACATGACTCTCAGAGTAGAGACTTGTGAGGACTCGTCCCAAAGGTGTGATTCTCGCCGAGACCCGTACTTTTTTCTCGTTCCTCTTCCACTGGTGCTGCTGGACTTGTCTACGGCGCACATCCGAAATCCGCGTGCGCACATCTACCGAAGGATACGAGGAATAACTCGCGACAGGCGATTAACAGACAAGCTTTACATAAAGGAATGATAACAATAATAACCGGCTGTCCAAGAAATCGTTCGATGCCTTAATGACTGTCTAGTGGAGGTACGGAAAATAGAACATTACATGGAATCCTTTGCGCATATGTCTCCTTTCTCCGCCCCGTACAGATTTTCGTTTGGTTCAGGCGAACAGCTGACGTCTTCGTTAGATACATACAAAAACTCAGCTCGCACTATCGTATAATAATCTCATCTCTTTATTCCCAACATGGAGTAGGCGGGACTCCCCGACTTAGCGCTCCCATTCAGCATTTCCGCTCCGTGTCCCGGTGCTTCCTTTTCTCTTTGCTGTGTTGGAAGAACGTTTACCAACGCAAACTCACCAGATCCGTGGGTATCCATGTTGTCCCCTCTTATTTAGTAAGGCGGTTCACTCGTTTGTTCGAAGAAAGAGGCTCTGTCTACTGGTTTGTCATGGCTTGAAAATGATTTCTTGGAGACGAGCCTATGATGTAAACACAAAAAATTCCCCGTGTTGGTCACCGTCCGCGAAAAGTGGTCGCTTTCTCTTTGTGACCTGTCAATCAGCCGGAGAAGAAACTGGTACACTACTATCAGATTCCGTTGCTTGGCCCGGTTCCCTAGCGGTGGACGACCCCTGGAATCTACCGTGCTCTACAAAAAGTGACGATCACATCTTCTGGCGTCACCATTCCCCCGAAGTTGTGCTCTTCGAGGTGCCTGCTGGCCCCACCAAGAAACTTTCTCCAAGATTTAGCATCGCGGAGACGCTCGGGATAGCAATACACAACACTTTTTCCTCTCCAGATCCGAATTTCTGCTGAAGATATACTCATGACGTCGACGGCGACGCTCGTGCTCAAGTCGGAAAGCGGGCTCCCTTTCTCCGTTCGACACTCGGATAGTTCTGTACTCGACTCGTTCGATCTCGACTCGTTAGTCTCGTCGCGTACGTAGACGAATGTCCAGCTCGCTTCGAAAGACCGAGTGTGTGCGTGAGTGAGTGTGAGCCAAACGCTTTGTACTCTGTATCGAGCGTCATATTAGCGCGTAGGACGACGTCAACATTTGTCTTCGGCCGGCGCAATTACGTGAAGTGTTGTCGTGGAAGACGATGGCGGCGCAAGAGAAAAAACGATCACGACGGCAGCCGTTCTGGGTATCGAGCGATAACCGGAGGGGTCTCACTTTCCAGGAGAGAGGAGAACGGGTTGCATCAAAATTTCTGGATCTTCAAGTATGCCCATAAGTTTGGAGCAGTGCCCTTTCACCGTCTTCGTCATACGAATGAGTGGCTCTTCGAAGAGCGACTGTGTCTTCTTCGCGACGTTCAGAATAACCGTTTGATACTGCGAGCGACTGAAACGTCATACGAATCGTCAATAGGACGCACAATGAAGTTGGGATTGATGTAAGTCAGCTTCTGGTAGAGGAAGGATTCCGTCGTCTATTTTCCGCTCTTGTCGATGAAGTCGAGCGGCTCGTCGCTCGATTCCGGCCGAGATTCTCGAGTTTTATTCTGCGTGTTCCGGACGAGATTCCATGCTCACCGTCTGAGTCTAGCGCTTATATAGCAGCAGCATGAGTGACCGTGTGAAACGAAGTGTGGCGCAGGCTAATTCACTCTTCCGAAGACATTCGTTCTCTCCGTTCCTTTCGTGTCAGTTGTGAGATGAGGCTTCTACTGATCGGAATACTAAAGTATGCTCTGCCTTCGAAACATCGTGATTCTCTTGCGAGTGACGGCGTCAACGCTTTGTTCGCTCAGTTAGCGCGACGTGAAAATAAGAATCCCTATAGCACGTCGGATGGTTGTGCTTCTCTACTTGTCTCACAGATCTTCCGCACACACCTTTCAGACTGCTTGCTCTGGCTTCTCCGATCGTCGCGATAACCTACGACTATCGATCAGAGGATACGAGCGAGCGTTATGTGGAGGATCAGCTGAAAAGTGGTGAGTTCCGTGAATTTTCTCCCACTCAATCCCTAAGTGTATCTTCTGCCGGATGCGGTCCCGTATCTTGAGATTTTCGACCGATGCGGAAATGGGTTTCGTTCCCTGATTCCGAAGTGAAGTTCCCGTTCTGTCGAGCTCGAAAAAATGAAGCGGAGTCGTTTCGTTGTCGCTACACTTTTTCGGCATACGTGCATCGGATCGAGGCGCCGCGATTCTCGTTCGTGATTTTCTGTTTGACTCCTGATCTTAAGCATGGGTTTTTCCGCAGCTTTCCTTGTCCTAATGAAAATGTTTCCTTGTTCCGACGGAATGCAGCCTATGCGATACCCTACCACCGCCACCGGGACGAAAATGAAGAGTTTCTTCGTTTTGTGAACCGACGTGAACACCTCTTTTTCGTTGCAATTAGTGTACCTGTATTCTGAATCAAGGACATGGTTTCTTGTGTGTCGACGTAAACACTCCACAATCAGATCTTCTGCCGCACGGGAGCCATCGCTCCCGAGTAGCCTTGTCTTCGTAGAGCACAGAACTGTCATTTCCTTAGGAGCAGTCATTTTTTTTCCAGTCTCGAAGAAACTTCGGAAACCCATAGATTTGAGCGAGTTCCAAAAAGGTGAGAATCGAAGCCCCACTCCTATAGAAATAATCCTTATTCAAATCGAATCTTCGTAAGCGGCGCTCAGCTTCCTCGATGAGCTCGTCCTTAATCGAACGACCGCTGTACGGGATGTCTCACAGAGCAATTAATTTGTTTTCCCGATAGTATGCGGAATTCGAGAGCTCGCCACGGCAAATCTTGCGAGGAGACGGCAAATCGGCGTCGTGCGGAAGTACGGCGCAAAAGATACGCCTCTGGAGAATTGGCCGTGGATGGTAAGCTACGGCGAATATCGGTAAAGTCGCATCGAAGCTCAGAATGAGTCGCGAATCGAGGAGCTATCAACTCAATGTTCTTCCCTTCTCTCCCATCCGACGTAGGTGAAAATCACGCAGCGGAACGAAGAAACAAACGAATGGGAGCTGCTATGCGGTGGATCCTTGATCACCAGGCGTTATGTGATCACGGCCGCCCATTGCTTCAGTCCAGTTCCGAAGTAAGCTACCGCTAGCAGAGCGCTCGAACTCATCCGCTCTCCAGTATGCATTGGCAGAATAGGCATTGATTGCGTGAAAGTAATTGCGAGGGATGGGATGAATTTTGCAGACCCGTCGACGATTATGCGGTGCACGTATTCTCGTACGGGGCAAAAATCAGCTCTAACCAGGACTCGGAAGCGAAGCGAGTCGATGGAATCTCTCTACACCCTGATTACAACCCGTATCTGCGCTACAACGACATCGCCGTCGTCAGGTGATGAAGTTTTTCCCAATACGTACCCCACCCAGAAGAATGAATAGAGAGCATGAGCATTACGAGAAATTCCGTTGTGATTGCGGGGCTTGGGCTGAAAATTCCTGACAACAAGAAAAATATTTTCCTCTGCTCAGGCTGAGGGTCGGTTTGGAGCCCCCGTTCATGGCCGTGTGTCTCCCCAAGCCAGATCTCGTCAACGATGATTTAATGGACCGCAACCTGGTGGTCATCGGTTACGGCTCGACGTACGATGGTGGGTCCTTTGATCGAGATGATTTTGGATCAAGCAGCAAGTGGCTTGCCTAAAATGTCTCAGCGGCTTAACCTTAGATAGGGATCTCTAAAGTTAATTACCTATGTCTAACAGAAAGTGAGAGCTATGAAGAAGAGACGACCACGACCTCATACGGTCACCGTGAGAACTCGGGCGCCTCTGGTCGAGTCCGATATCACACGTCAACGAGACCCATCCACGATCCGGTGTCGAACGACGACGACGACGAAGACCGTCGTCACAGCGTTTACCAGCAGAAAAACTCGACTTCTCAGAGAAACGACCAGCGACCGTATCATCCGGTAGAAACGTCGACTCCGGTTTACGTTCCTTCGACCACGAAAAAGTCCACCTACGAAAGAGAAAGGTCGACGACGAAAAGGTCGACGTATACGTCAACTCGGAGACCGACGAGTACGACGACTCAGCGTAGCTATGAGTCTTCCACGAGTTCTTACGTAGCGAACAAAGCTCAATCTTATCCGGCGGCGAATCAGCCGTCGCCACAGAAAGCGACAGATCAGAAATTTATTCAGCAAGAGTCACAATATGGACAAGTTTATCCCCAACAAGGTCCGTACGGATTCCAACCTGCCGTTGCGTTCGGTCAGAATCAGGGCCGATTCCGCCGATTTGCGGAACGCAGACAAAGGGGTGAGCATGCAAAAAATTCTACAACTCCTATGGCGACTAACGCTTCTAGGCTCGAGCCGCTTCCTTTCGCTCTCTGCTTCTCGTGAATGACTACGCCAAAATGATTTTCGTCGACTCCGGCGACGATGATGATTATCACGGAGTTTCTCTCTCTAACAACATGCACGTGAGGCACTTTGATGAGCGCTTGCTGAGGCCGGCCAGAACGCGGGAGTCCGGTGAATAAAATATTCGGCTTATCTTCCTCCAGGCGGTCCTCCCAGCTATTCCCTTCGCGAGGCAACGATCACCGTCATATCTTCGGACCAGTGCAGTCAAATGTACAATAAAACCGACCGGCAACATCTGAATCGAGGAATCGTCAGCTCGCAGATTTGCGCTGGCAACCCCGAAGGCGGGGTTGATTCATGCCAGGTAATAACGATTTCTGGAACATTCTCGATGAGTATCCGGGGGCTTCGAACGGAGGCGACCAATGTATTCTGTTCTTGCCGACTGTGTGTCGCTTCGATTCTGGGGACAACGGCTAGACGTAGAATGAGGCAAAAAAACCGAGATATGTATATTTCTCGGGAAGATGCTAGGAATTGTTCTTGGAAACGCCACCATTATCAATTTTTTCTTCTCTTTCTAGGGAGACAGCGGTGGCCCTCTTATGACTCAGGATTCTGCGGGACGGTGGACGTTGGTCGGAATCGTGTCGTTTGGAAATTCCTGCGCACGGAAAGGTTACCCGGGCGTCTATACCCGCGTCGCCGCATTCAATAACTACATAGAAGACGCCGTCGACTTTACGGCTTAAAGTCTCGGATGCTGTAGAGTTAAACTCATTGTCAGTAGTCAGATCAGTGTACATATAAACATCGACTCTTGTAAATGATGAATCCCGCAGCTCGAATAAACATTCGTCCCCATGCCATGACTCGGAGTCTGGAATCAGTCGGGATCACCGAGCGCGAAAAACAGGTACTCACCGAGCTGTTTCGCTGGCTCAAGTCGAACTGCAGAATGATTATCGTATAAGAGACAACTGTTCCGAGAAGCTGCGAGAATGAGAGTATTAGAGAGCGCGTCGATGAGAACGATCCCCATCGATTTTTAAAGGAGCTCAGGAGGCCGCGATCGACGCATAAATGAAAATGGGAGTGACATGCTTCATACTGACCGAAGTCAGCAATTCGGGCGAGAATACGAAGAGTCCCGCCGCAGAAATTTCGACTGGCACATGACGAAGTGTATTCAAAGCTCGAACTGATTTCGTCTTCTTACTCCGATCGATCTCTTCGATGGTCGCTCCGAGAGCTTGAACCTGATGGACGCGGCAGGAGGCAACATGAATCCATCATTGACTCAGTTTACAAAGACGAAACAATATATCGAATATTCGCATGCTCTGTACTCGAGAAAACCCACGAGGGACTTACGCTCAACCTGAGTCGTTTCACAGATCGTAGCGACATCGAAATCGCAGTCCATTGGCAGGAAGCAAGGAGTATCGAGAGAATGTAGGCGAGCGCTCCGCGCTCTCTGACTCTCAGGATCGCGTAGAAATGCATGAGTTGACACGTGGTGATTGAAGCAACGATGAAAACCAAACGAGTGGACATATTGTCGCGAAGTTCGTCGATGACCTTTTTGAGGCACCGGATATCTTCTCCGACGTTTGCGAAAGCGTACTGCGATTATGGATAGACCGTTAGAATGGATCGGTTCACCTCATTCCACATTGCTTTTGCGATTCTGAGCCTGAGCTCGCTCGATTCAAATAGGTGATTGCTCGCCTCCCATGTATTCGACCCACGACGCCTCAGGCGGCTTATGAGTGACTCAGTGACGTTTTCCAGGTGACCGTAGAAGAATATCAGATAACAGAGAGGCACGCGCATGTAGCTCACGAGCGGGAAGGTTGTCACCGCGATGAAGACCATCGCGGCGGTATTGAAAGCTGGGCCCAAACGGAATGACTGTAACGCCCGAAAAAAGTCATGATTATGCCTTTAGATCCACGCAGGAATCGAAACGAGAGCGGAACAACTCACTTCTTCCAGAAAATCAGGGCCGATTCGCAAACTCAGTGCGGAAGTTAGAGCTGCCTCGGCCAGAGTAGAAATCAGCGAACCGAAAAAGATTTTCCTCGGCCAGCGGTTAGGAAGCGCCCTGGTCCTGGCAAAAGCGACGGGAGCTTAAGCATCGAGAACGGTACGTGGCTGGAACTGAAGGTTCAAACCCCGGGCTGGCTCGAGTTCGGAGTTCATACTTACTTCGACGTCAACTCATGAAGGTCATTACAGAGCTCCACGGTATTCCGCATCAGAAGCTTGTCGTAAATGAAGGTCAGGAGGTAGAAGAGCAACATCGATTCCCCAGTGAAAAAATAGGATAAGGAGGTCGCTGTGTCGTCAGGCGATTCCCACAGCGAGAAGACGAGGACCACGGAACTGAGACAGAGGCTCGATACGACGCAAACATCCAAAATGACCGTGAATACGAAGGTCCCGGTCCTTTGATAAGCATACACTCCTTCCCTCTCATTCCACCGTGCGCAACCACCACAGAAAATCGCTTCGAAGAGGAAAAGGAGTTGAGATCCTTGCAAGGGATCCCGTTTAGCCAACATCGTCCCCGCTTCTGAACTCTTGACGGCAGTCGTTCCTTTTGACTCGCTGTGGTGAACAGAGGTCGCATCGATTTTTTCACGATCACAAGATTCGATCGACGACTTTGTTGTTGAGACGACTCACAATAATGGCTTCGCAATGCGAGTTGTGAAAGGGGAATGGATGACCAATCCTATTCTCTCGGGATGCAGTCAGCCTTGGAGAATCTACCGAGAGCTGCGAGTTGATGAGGAAGCTCCCGACGCGGGAGCAGATTTTTGTAATTCGAGCATGATTATCATGTAGGACACGGTTTTCGAGAACAACTGCAATTAATACCATCCGTTACTCCGCTCTCTTGGAGCACTAAGGGCTTCCATCTCGGGGACCATTCCCAGGCATTGCGTGACGAACGTGGATTACCGCGGAAAAAACTCTTGGTGAAAAGTCGAACAGACCGGCAACCGATGGAGCCAGACGCATCTTGGCCATTTTCGAAAGAAGATATTCAGTTTCGTCCACCGGAACATGGTCCATCTCGTTGATTGCATCTCTCAGGCGATTTTTCTGGGAATCAACAAAGCGAGAGATTACCTTGCAATTCCTTCGATTAGGGTCTCGACTCCCGAGCTATCGATTCGGATTTAATTTGAGAACCTTGAGAAGGAGTCGCTCCGTCGCCGAAAGAGCCAAGATCAAGTAAGTCCATTCCGCCAAACTCAGGAGAACCATAAACGCCGTGTGCGCTGAGGCCCTCAGAGCGAGAGCCAGGAATATGAACGCCAATTGCACGCACATGAAATTCGTTAGCAGGAAACCGAGAGTCACCGACAGTATGATCTCTATGTCACGAAGAATCCTGGAAATAGCCATGACGTCCTGTCTGAGGGAACTGACGATATCGGGATTCGACTCCTGTAAGGAAAACGTTTGCAATCACGAATAAAGACTTTTCCCATCCAGGATTGGCATGTGGCGGAAACTCCAAAATGTCGTGTGCCGGGTTCCCACTTACTGGGTAGCCGAAGGAAAGATGGGACCGTGCGCGCTCGACGAGACTCTGGAGACAATCGCTCGATATCCCCGAAACATAGACGGAGAAAATGAGGGGACACCGCAGGAATAGCCAGAAAGAGCAGCTCAGGAACACGAATAAGAAGAAAACCGCCATCGGTGCATTCGGAAATAATACCGAGGAAAGACTGAACTCCATAGCGCCTAAGAGAACACCTTGACTCAGGGCCAATATGAGCCCGAAGAAAAATTTTCTCGCCGACGTTCCACTCGACGGCCGGCCGACTCTGAGAATTAGAAATTCAGCTCGATTGGAAAGCTACTTGGCTACGGGATATTCCTCCTAGATCCCACGCTCGATACTCACCGGTTCCAAAGGACTAGTAGATCGTTCAGCGGGCGGATCGAGCGGACCCCCATTCTCCTCACGGACGATATCGAACAAAAGAAAGTGATTTTCATTAGACTGTCGATAACTTTATGAATATCGTTCATGATCCCATCGAACTTGATATTCCTTTGGTCGAAGACGAGAGGCGCGACGAGGTCGGCGAGAATAAAAAGCGTCATGACAGATACTCTAGTCGTTTGGAGCACCGAGCAGCCTGCCTCACAGTATCGCTTTGACATCGAATCCCATCGAATGGCAGTCGCACAGAAGATATTGGTGAAAGCGATAAACACTGCGGAGTACGGTAGCCGCACTTCAGAGTTCCTTTCACTGCCCGGAACTCGCATCGTTCCGTCAACTAGCGACTCTTGACTCCGACTGTGGTTTCCGTCAGTAGGTCCGGTGTTGCGCGAGTCGTAGCTCCTTCAGCCAATGCGCTTCCCACGAACGAGTACGAGCTCCATCGACTGATCGAATCAAGAGCTGTCATCCGACAGGAACTACGAAGTCGGGGCCGTCCGCCGCGACTTCGCTTGGAAACAGATCTATCTCGAATAATCACGGAGACTCGCAACGGGGTTCAGATCCTCGATGGCAATCGATTCGAGTCGCATTCATCGCTCCGCCGCTGAATAGTTTTTTCTATATTGAGCCGTCGAGGGAGATCCAAGGCACAGAAGTCACGAGGGTTCGCCTCAAGTCGCGATTTTTTCGTCCCACCCGAATACCCTGCGAGAGGTAATCCGTGAATATGCGACGCTTCTGTGCTCGTAGAAAGTGTAGCAACGACGACTACAGATTATTCATGATGAAAGTGACATCAAGATGAAAAAGTAACTTAACCCTCAGTTTCGCATTTGATGAACCGACTCGCCGACCCACGAATGACTGATGCGTTCCTAAATAAGACACTCAATGCGTCTACAACAAATATATTGTATTGTTGAAGAATTCTGCAAGAGCGCATTGTTTTGCATCCGTTTTCCTTCGCTGATGACGGAAAGGTCGGGCAAAGAGCGGGCATTCTGTCATCGCCGGCGTTTCGTTACCGAAGTCGGTCCATTGTTAGCGGCCAACGGCAAAGCTCAATTAATGCAACCTGCTCCGGTGTGAGCGTTTAACGGGAGCGGCGGTTCCGTCGCGCCCAGTGCTCACCTTGACCCTTGAACTCGTCCGATGTCCGCGTCCTTCAAGTTGTACCCTACTCCCGATTCACTGCCCAATAGTAGTATTGTGTAACGAGGCACCGTACACTGAATCACAACAGCTTGACAGCTCGGGAGAGCTCTGCAAGGGAAGTCGGACCGGCAATGGTGGCGAGGAGTTGATAAAAGAGCACTGTATATCTTCAAACACGGATTGGAGTTGTCAACGCGGACCGCTCGGGAAGAAACGAGCCACGAGTCAGTTGTCGTCGGACTTCCTGCGTGGTCAGTGAGTTGACAATAACGGAAGGTGAAACCGGCTCTTGTACGGATGTGTGAAGAAACGTGATCCTGTTGCAGGCCAGGTGGAATCCCGAGAATTCGTGTAACGGACCAATCTAATTTATAGGTTTTCGGAATGCGGTTCCTCTTGTGCCTGTTCCTCGTGGACTTTGTGGTATCGGACGGCGTCAGGAACGACCCAGAATGCGGCCTCAGAAGGTTAATCGAGAGAAACTGAAATACAGAAGGATTCATTCTCCGTTCCATCATAGTTCTCCCATCTTCCGGAGCGTTTCTGCCGACGTTCCTCCCTATTCTCCTCGAGCACATACGGATGGATTTCTCCGTGACTCCGTGAAGCAGTCGGGAAGAAACGTCTCCGTGTAGCGCTTTCGTTGTTCACCGATCCTGTGATATTTCCATTCGCAGAACCTATGGACGTGACGTCCGAGATGGGAATTTCCCGGAGTACCCTTTTATTGCTTCGATTTTGGAATTCAAGCCTCGGAAACTCGACGCGGAATTCATGTGTGCCGCCGCTCTCGTGTCCAAACGCCATCTCATCACCGCTGCTCACTGTTTCGATGACAGACCGATGTGAGTCCAGCGGGTCTCAGTTCCCTCACGTCAGTTGCCGTCGAGCTCCATTGCGTTCCGAGACTGTGCCAGTCACATTCCCGGTTTTCTGAATTTCAGGAACCCACGATACTATTCGGTCATGACGGAAAGTCAGACCACTCGAGCGGGTCTAGAGTTCGATATTGAACGGATCGACAAGTTCCCTCTGTATAGAGAAGGGAGTGCCTACGACGACATTGCGCTCTTGACTCTGAAACACGAAGCGCACAACAACACGATTCCCGTGTGCCTGCCTACTGCCGGGGAGTCCTACGATCAGCGGTTGGCGTACGTCCTCGAGTACACGCCCATCTATAACGGTCATATGAAGGTAAGCGCGCACTTCAGACATCTTATTCCGCTATGAGGAGCTCCAGTCCGGAGCGAATCCCAGAGTGATGATCTGAGACCGGGAACTCCATCTAGGTCTCAATGTCCCGTCAAATAATTGCCAAAAGATCCGATTGCGAAGAAGTATACCAGAATACAGTGTCGAGCAAGCTACTCCGAGGCGTGAGCATGGAGCACCTCTGCACCGACAAGCGGTCTCGTCAGAGTCACTGCATCGCCTACGACGGATCTCCAGTTGTGGTCAACGGTAAGTTCTCCCAGTCCGGAGTCGTACTGGATGAAACAGAATCTGGCAATAAGGTCCCGAGCAAGACGGGATCGACAGCTCACAACGGGGATTCCGCTTCAGATAAAAACAATCGACTCGTCCTGGCCGGGGTCGCAACTTTCCGCGAGAACTGCACCTCGCAAGAGTTCCCCGGTTTCTTCACCAAGATCACTCCATATCTGGGCTGGCTCGAGCGGATGATGAAGCCTTGATACAATCTCATTCTTAACCGAGTCCTCTGAACGGAAGGATCCTTGGTATCATCCATATGATTACTTGTTCCTATCGACGTATATGATGCGTATAGTTCTTATCCTGTGTCCTGTATTTAGTCTCCGACTCCAACATGCCTCAATTACGTACTCCGAGTCTGTACATAGTTTCGAGATAATTTCCCTGGGTGTCTTGATGTAAATAAAGGTCGAATAGACGAATTTCGATTCGTGACCGTGCTGTCGACAACAGCCGTTTTTAGTCCCGATTCCCCCGGAATCATACGATCATTATTGTCACATGGTGCCTACAGGGGCAACAAGACAGGGGCAACAAGACAAGTCGTATGACGTGTCTCCCCGAGGAGCAGACGGGGCTCGCTCGGTATTTCAATGCTGACCACGTCTCGAGGGGCGGTAATCAATCGTTATCCAATGTTCAATCTCAGAAGAGCATTCTGTGGGAAGCGTTGTTGGTGAGAACCCTTACTGTTTCAGAAACATTTCACATAGCTCCGAGCTTCTGTGAATTCCTTGATGTTTTCTCCGTCTTTCGCTCAGCTGGTCGGCGGGTGGGGACCGTGCCGTACTCGGACGAGCCATCTGGCAGTTACATCTCGAGATCCGCGCGACAATTGCACTCCACTCGGCATCGAAGTGTCGGGTTGCCTCGTTTCTGCTCTCCCCACCCGGCGGGCTACATCTAGAGGTAGCCACAGCTTGGCGAGCATGTGTTGTACCCAAACGAGAATTTCATCTCCGGATTACCCTCCGAAGAAATACTGAATGTTCGGAGTCCGGTCACCGTCCCGGAGGAATTCGCCATCGAGAGGGCTCATTCGCCCGAATTGCCTTGTTGAGCCTAATGGACAGGCAGACACGTTCGTGACGGTCGGAAAATTTCTGGGATGCGAGTCTCCCCAGGATTCAGTCGATTTCTGGTCGAACCACATCACCAACGACACCGGAGGCTGAGATAACGTACCGCACCACACAATCCGACTTCTCGAACCGGCATTTCATCGAGCACGAGTGTCCATTCACACCTCGCTCCGATTAACGAGCTGCCCTCTCCGACCGTGAAATAGCCGGCTCAGTCAGTGTGTTTGACTGTCTGTTTATGCTGACTACGGCTGCTGTGTAGTGTGTGCACTGTGCGCAGCCGACGGATGAGTCCCCGAGGAACTGAAAAGACTGGGAGTAAGCCTCGGTCTGGAGTCTGGGCTTCCGAGGTGGAACGGGTGCTTCCTTAATGAGGAGCCCTCGCAGCCGGTGCATCGCATCCTAGGGCAAATCGATATGGGACCGCCATGGAACAGCCACGCCAATGAAAATAAGAACATGTAGCCGCTGAAGGGACATCACACAATCAGGCGCTAGGATTGCGGGGCTATGCGCTTCGATCGGGCCCCCGCTCACCGATTCGATTTTCTAGGGATCGGTGAATGGAGCGAATCGAAAGGAAAACGATAGGCCGAATCTCGTGAGCATATTTTTCCCCTGGCCGCTTGCGACCATCTGGCCTGCTTCAAGAATATTGCTCACGGGATTGACCGTTCACCGCCAAATCGCTTTTGCTGATGCATTGTTGTCATTGGGGGCGAGTTCATCGAGTTCAACAAGGGCCATTGGAAATAAATCTATTCTCTTTTCGCTTTCTCGTTGTATTGCGTGTGCTGTTCATCTCTCTTCGGCTATTAAGTTAGCAAGCCAGCGGTGCACAAAGCGGCCGCCTGTCGATCTGCGTGCAAAGAAACTAGCCATCGAGTGAGTGAGCAAGCGAGCCGCCCAGCCAGTCAGCAGCCTCACGAGCAAGCCATACCGGCAGCCCCTTGTTCTCGACGAGTCGGTGGGGTGGATTGAGCTCCGAGGAGGAGGAAGAGGGACCTGCGAACAACGAAGGGACCAGCGCGGTACCTACGCTATCCGGCCTATTGAGGTCGGGTTACGTCACTCCTGGGACCAAAACTCCTCGAGCGGCTAGAGAACCCCCATAGCAGGACGGGGAGTAGAGGGTCGGGAGTACAGGAACAGCATGTTGCCGCTGTCAATGGTCATCACCAGACTTTTTCCTCGCGCTTGGGGGTTATCTTTCGCTCGGCGGATCAGCGATTCGAGCTGGAGATGAAATCGCCGCCAGAGTTCTGATTCTCCATCGCTCCTGAGCTGTGTTTGTCGTCCAGGATCGGTCTGATGCATAATGATAGATTCTCGATCGAAGTTTCGGATTGAGAAAAAACGATAATGATGATTTTAAGAATGATGATTAGGGATTTGAATTCGAATAAGCTCTCATGATGTCTCCGAGAGCAGGAACCGCGACGAGAGGTGCGTCTCACATTGCTACACTCGATGATGTGAGCAACTTCGGAACGCTCATTCGATTCCAAGCCCATCGTCTCCCGAATCCATCGTGCCCTCGGATATCAATTAGGAACTTCTCATAATTTTCGATTCCCCCAAAACGTACCCTCGATCATCAATCATCAGCAAGGCTGGAAATAATTCACGGCATTTTCCCGAGAATTCACAGCAATGTCCACTCCCCCCCCCACGGTACTCCAGGCAGCTCGATCTATCCGGTAGACTCCATCCGTGTAGGTCACGGTCGATGCAAGTCTGGGGAGGGATTTTATTCATGCATCGATCTCTTCCCGTTGACTTTTTATGGAGGATCGCCTGAAAAAAATGTAAAAGTCCACGGCTTTTGGCGCGACAGCGCCAACTTCCCAGCCCTAATCATCAGCGACAGATGCCGATTCATTCTCTCTCGCATCAACCCTGTCGCTCTGACGTCGGGATGCACCTGCTCGCACTGACATCGAGCGAAGTTCCATTGGTATCGTGATGAGTGCCTACGAGGTGCGAGGAAAGGCTCTTGAGAGGAGAAAAAATTCTCCGAGCTCCTGATGGGACACTCCAATCGAGAGAGAGAGCACTCGATGATGTGATGTTGAGCGTTTCGACAGAATGCAGACGCAGATGAGAAAACCGCCTGATTGGCTGAACATTGAAATCACATTTGCATGAGTTACTCATGTGTTCCCGACGAAGAATTCGTCCACTCGCGTATGCACTCGCCTGTCTCCAATGTGTATTTGCGAAGTCTTCCCTCGTCTCGTTCATCCAGTGGATGTCTCCAGTCGCAGTCTTGTTCTTCAATGCTGAACGCATTAGGACAAGGAATGATTTACCCCCAGTCGTCGTCTCGTTGGCGGACACAGACTTGATGTATGACTCGGCAGTTCGCTTGAAAGATGTTCCGTCGTTCAAAAACTGTTGATTCGCTTCATGGATTGTTGGAGAACAAGCCAACAAACAGCTCGTAGGAGACGATGAGGGGAAGAGAGCGAGATATTTCGATTGTGACCGGGGCTTCTCCGACGAGGGTCCGATCTGAGTGCACACATACACATAATGGACGTTAAGTGGAATGAGGGGAACATCGACCAGGGTGAGGATGGCTACGACACCACGTCGGCGACTCTGCAGCAAAATGGGCGAGTCCGATAGCGCGCACAAGTGATGCATGATGAAAATTCTCCCTCATCCCAGTCCGGGAATTCTGAATCAGCCGCGAGCAGAGCAGTCGTCCCGACCATCTAGCCCTTGCGTAGATCTGCGGACGCGTCCCGCAGGGGACATCCGAACTTTCCGGAGGCCCTCCAGGCCGCAAGAGCCTCAGCGATTTTAGTCCTGGTCCTAGAGCCATCCGAGAGGTGAGAGAATCAAGATGTTGGACGAACGATTCGGCTCACCACAGGCAGAGAATTCCTCGACGACTTCATCTTCCGGCCACCTTTGATTCGGTGGGAATGCCATCCGGAGATCGAACATGTCGAGCAAGGCTTCGCCGTTCCATCTGGTTCCGATCGAGCTCGATCTGACGTAGCCCTGGCGGCTCTGGCTCCGAAGCGTTCGCGTAAGTCGCCTCCGCTCGCATGAGGAATCTCTTTCGGAAGAAGGCTTCAGCGTCTCGAACAGACGTAAGATAACGAACAACAGTGAAGGTCACCAGCAGTGATCGTTTCTGTCGCTGCTGCTGCTGCCGCGCCAATCTAAAGCGGAAGACACATCTCTCCGTCGACGTCTCTCCGTCTAGGCTGCTCGATTCACGGAGCCCATCCGCGCCCAGTGCACCAGCAGTAGTAGTCGCAGGAGAGAGACAGTCATTCCGAGCTATATATCTAGATTGCAGCGAGCGAGCAGGCGGGGAGGGGCTGCGGGAGAAGCAAGATGAGCTCGGCGCTCATCCGCACTCTTCAGGCGGCAGTCAGGCTCTCCTTACGCTCTGACGCGTCCTCCTTTAATTTGGCCTAAGATCTAATATAGAACCGACGAGGGATCGAAGCAACCAACCGACGAAGCAACCATGCAACGAGCTCCGGTGGCCGAGCGGGCGGACGGACGAGCGAACGAACGAAAGGCCAGTGAGAGCCGTTCCTGATGCCAACACGCGCGGGAGCTCTGGACTCCGTACCCGTCTGCCTTCCTGACGAATAGAGAAGCGAATGAAGGACGGCCCGACGCACCTCTGTTCCAGCAGATGGATGGATAAACGGGTAAAGGAAGACAGACTCAGTCCTTGCCTCATTACGATCTTGTGCACAGGCATTGCTCCCGACGCTGAGTCGGCTATGTTATATCTGCTCCTCACAGCGATCCAGGAAAATGAGAGGGCACGCCAGCCGCTAATCGAGAAAACGTACTCTCGGGTCTCGACGAGCTGATCCTATGATGTCGGCGAGGTCAGAGGATGAGTCGAAGAGAATCTCTTATCGGCCGCAACCGGGGTCTTCTCACCTGATGGATTCTCAATGAGGCCATTGATGAGTGAGCGGAAATCGGTGGATGCGATTTTATTTATGTACGCCAACCGTACAGCTCAGCCGTCGCACTTCGAGCTGAAGCGCTCTCTAAGCTCTGCCCTGACTCTACTGTGAGGAGGCCGAGCGATAAGCGACTGGCGGCCGCGAGCAATCAAGCGACGAGGACGGCACCCTGCGATTTCGATCCTTCTTTCGTCCGGAAACCCGCTCGATCAGTACTGAGGAAAGTGAA